AGGTGCGCCGGAGAGCCCCTCGCCAGGGCCGCCGTCCCTGGCCGTGCTTAGCTGCCTTGGGACAGCTGGGGCTTTCCAGACTGGGCGGAGAATAGGGGGAAGAAAAAGGAGGGGGAAAAAAAAAAAAAATCAGTTTTCTTCCTCCTTATCAACGGGGCTGTGGAAAAGGGAAGTGTGTTTAATTTTGTGGAGCTTGGGAGGCCTGGTTTTTTCCTCACCTTATCAGTTTGGAAACGTTTTGAGCAGAAGATGCCATAAAACCCAAGGAACTGGGAGGCACCACTGTGTTCATGCCTTTGTAAAATTGCGACCGATTTTGAGAGAAGCAAATGTTGCTTTTTTTTTTTTTTTTAAATCTAAAACACAGACCTGGTTGCAGGAGGGCAGCTCCTCTGGGCATGGGGAGAGGTCTGCATGCTGTGGGTAGGAAGGGCAGGACTTTTTCCCTTGAAAGAAGCAGCGTGCCTGCTCCGAACCACGGCGTTGCTGGATGCTGGGGCGAGGGGATGTTCCTGCTCCAGCGATGCTGTGAGACGAGCCCGGAGGCCATCGCTGTCCCCCGAGCGCTCTGGCTCAGTCCTGAAGGATAGATGCGGGGGCAGAGAAAGTCATCACACGTATGTTTTGTTCCATTAATGAGGGGGAAATCAAGAAACTTAATTTGACTGAGATGTGGTGCCCGGAGAGCGTGATGGCGTGGCCCTGTGCCTGGGCAAGGCTTCACTGCAGAGCTTTACTGGAACATGGAGCTCTGCGCCCGAGCCGCACAAGCACGTGACAGGTCAGCGGTGTGGGAGTTGCTCAAGATAAAAGGTTGAAGAGAAACAGAGAAAGCTTCAGGTGGGAGCAGGTATCTTCACAGAATCATTAAGGTTGGAAAAGACCTCTAAGATCATCAACTCCAACCATCAACCCAACACCACCAAGCCCACTAAACCATATCCTGAAGGGCCACTTCTACACGTTTATCTTGAAAGGACATCTGGAACGTTACCTCTCTGCGAGAGGAGGACATAACTTACCTGTAACGACCAGGCAGTGGTGAGCTCTGGCTGTTCGCTGAAGCAAGCCTTGATGCATCGGGTACATGCGCTCGGCGCTCAGTGCTCCCTAAGAGTAGAGCTGTAAGCAAGCTGATCTGAACAGCGCTTGCACTAAAAGGGCTTCTCGGTTGTGATCAGAGGCAAACAGCAAGATAACAGGTTCATTACGGCTCCAGAAATACCGAGAGTCGTTGCAGGTGTGGTGATAAGCCAGGGTCCTTGAGCATCCCATGCACCGACCGAGCCTGCGGCAGTTCTGGGAGCAGCAGGGATACCCGGCCAGGCGCAAACCGATTTTTCTGTGTCCTGCCTCTTTTAGCTAGGTACGATTTTTTTAATTCTTAGATCAGCAAGAGGCAGCTGAGTCAACCTCAGGCTTGGCTGTGTCTTCCCAGGGAAAGTGGTTTTCTCTCTACTGACATCTGTGTATGGATATTTATTTTGCGAGGAGTTATATAGCTACAAGATATGTTAACAGAGTGCTTTCTTGTATCATGCAAGATGATTACGTCTTGTGAGATTTCCCATTAAAATGGGGAACTCGAATTCCCGAGGCATACAAGATTTCTTGGGACACACCACAGCCTGAGCCACAATGGCAAAGCAAGGGAAGATTGTTCTGCGCCTGGCAGCTGGCTTCCAGCTCACTGTCTGTCCGGTAACACGAGCAGCTCTGTCTCTTGTTCCGAAACCCAGTATTTTCAACGGATTGCTTATTGGCATTTGTGGACCCGGGGGGTGGCATTTTGTAACGATTAAAAGGCATTGCCTATTGTGCTCTTGAGCAGCTTGAAATGTAATTGATGTGTGTCGCAGCCACGCTCTTCTGGAGCTTTCCCAAAGGGGGGAAAAATACTTCCTTTTCAAGTTGAGCAGTGCGGAACGAACGGGTGAGTTAGGGGAGAGCGAAGCAGGAGACGCTGGAGACGATGCCGTGGCCATTAAACACCCTCTCCTTGCCAGCTTCTGGGTGCAGAAGGGCCCCTGCTTTACGGACAGCAAAGCACCACAGCTGCCCGCAGCCCCCCACTGACACCCTTGGCATTTCCCAGATGCTTGTAAGCAGAGGTTTTAACTCCCTTAGGGGGTTAATGGCGTTAGTTTGGCAAGCTGAGTGGAAAGGAGACTGGTCTGCAGCTGCACTGGAGCACTAGGCAGCACCGGGGTCCCGGGGTCGTGACAAAGCCCGTGGGCTCTGCATTTATGGGAGAGCCTGAAGTGACTCCTGTAAAGGAGCTGTGCAGCTCGGGATTCCTGGAAGGGCATCCGGGGATGGGTGGTTTGTGTGCTGCAGGTGTGGAAATCCAACGGAAAGCTGCTTCTCCCCCCTGGTTAGGCTGGTGCTGCTGGTGAAACGAGAGCGTGCGGTTATGGTTTATGCCTGCAGAAAGAATTAGTCAGGGGTCCGTAAGAAACAAGTCTTCACTGAATTGATTATAGCCAGCTGCTAACAAATAAATACCAAGCCACCTGAAAGACTTTCTTGTTCAGTAGTAGCTCAGTAACTCGCAAGTCACTCCGAAAAAGAACAAGCCAAACCGTGGTAGCTGTACAGTAAGTGAAGCAGCATTTTAACCTGACCACCAACGCCCTCGCCGCCTGTATGATGCCGCCTGTATGATGCCGTGTTTGAATTGTAAAGAAACAAACAGGCACCGACTGATAAGATGCTTTTTGTCCCGTCCCGTCCTGGGGAATACGGACTTTCTACAGCGCCGGGCCGCTTGGCTGTGGGGCTGCTGATAGGCGCTGCGTTGCCTTCGGAGCACGCGGGAGGAAGCAAACAAACAAGTCTGGAGGAGGGAAATGATTAGACGAGCCTCAGCTGGTTTTTTCCCCTCTTGAATGGCCCTCTTTCATCAGGATATGTTAGGACAAGTGCTTTTTCAAGCCAGGATATCAGTGGAAGACACAGTGTTCTGTAAAAGTCATCCAGTTCCTGGGTAGCATCAACAGACGCGATTTCTCTGCTCCGCACAGAATATACGGTCAACCTTTTCTTTTCCTTCTTTTTTTTTTTTTTATGGGTTTAGAAGCAAAAGGATGTGAGTTTTACAGCTAGTTATGAATCTTTTCGAATTTACTGACTTCTGTCTGACTCTTGGGCCAGCACAATGCTTCTGCTGTTCAAAGAAAACCAGTCCAAATTAGTATGTATAAGCAACTCGTTTTTATGCTGCTAACAAATGCTGCTTCTAGGGCATTTATCACTGCTGCAGAGGGTCAAAAGTTGGGGATGTTCTTTAATGGTAGGATTTTTGTGTTCTTTAGGAGATTTTTTTAAGAAGTCTGGAGTTTTAGTTGTTTACCGGAACTGCAGGATTTAAGAGGGTTTGTTAAAACTGGGTTGGAATATTGTGCCTTGCCTTTTTCTCACTTTTATTTTGTTAGCTGTCTTTTAGAGCAGTTGTACAAAGCCACTGAGAGCAAAGAGCGTTCCTGGAGCGGAGATAAGGGACAGTGTTGGGTAATGTTGCTGTTTTGAGATGGTGTAAAATATGAGCTTTTGCAAAGAGGCGCTTGGACGCGTTACCTCTGTACGGCACCGTGCTGGTCGTATGGAAGCAGGAGCTTATGCGGAAATCGGGGAGCGCTGGGGAGGTACGGGCAGTCCGACTCACGGCAAGCCGCGCTTCGTAAGGTTAGTGCGCAGTTTGGGAAACAAGCGTTTATATTAAAAAAGAAATCTTGCTCTCAACAGGTTCTTTGGCTTGGCTTTCCGGTTTGTTTCCACGCAGATGGACACACGGCGACAGAGGTTTTGCTGTGTGGGTTGTCCTTTTCCTGCAGTCACTCTCTGCTCCTGCAGCACAGCTTTCTCATTTGCCGGCAACTGGGAATATTCCGCTTTATTGTGAAAGATTTCCCGGCCGCAGGAGAAGAGAACGTTGGGCAAAGTGAACTCTCAGAGCAGGAGTTACCGATGCCTTTGGGAAGGAGCTCTGTCTCTTCCATGTTTCCTCCTGCTGTAGAAATCCCAGCCAGTACCTTATCAGGGATAAAAGAATATCCTTTGGGATATTTTTTTCGCTTTCCCAGAGAAATATTTCCCAAATTTCTTAACAGGGATACTGTGAATTATCTCCTTGTGTGTTATCTAACTGTTCCCTTCTTGCTGAAAAACAGATGAGCGTGCGTGAAGCTGCTATCTAGCTGAATATCCATACATTGTGTTGGTGTCACAGCTTTTGTGTAACTTCTGGCCTTTTTTAATGCTTTCCTGTGAGATCTGGTGTGAGAAGGAAACAAGACTCTTCCTGCCTCACTCATGGAATGAACCAAATTCCCACTTGCAGAAATTCTTGCCGCTACTGCGTGTGCCAGGCAGAGCAGAGCCGGCGTTTCGGATCACAAGCAAACTCTGTGCGGCTCCTGTTCAGACACAACTCGCTAGTGAAGTGAGTGGTGAGTGCTAGAATACTGTGGGAGTGTGAATGGAGAAAAGCTTGCTTTAATTAGAGTGCCGTTGTCCTGCTGGCATTTTATTGACCTGATATATGACTTGTGGAGCCCGGAACTTAGGTGACAATTTTAGTGCACTTTTTAAAAGCAGCTGAAACCTCAAATTTAAACCTGATTCAGATTTTTGGGGGAATTTTGCACCTTGATTCAGTTGAAAAATGAGGAAGCTTTGCCTGGGAAGCCTGGTTGTGTTCTCAGAGAAAGGAAAAGCTGAACTTGCAGCAAAAGCTGAAAAGACGTGAAATTCAGGTCTGTCTTCACAGAAATACTACGATAGAATGGAGCATTAGTGCCCACTTCTGCCCAAAGGCAAAGACCCCTGATAAAGTACAGAATGGGCGAGTGCTGGGAGTAGGAGCTCCTGTGGGATCGTTTTCTGTAGCACAAGTAACTCCCATGTAGCACAACCTTGTAATGGAGCATTTATATTTAGTAGATAGCAGACAGTAATTAATGATGATCTATGTTTGGAAGTGTAGGGCAGCAGAAAATTGGGCTTTGTAACAAAAGAATGTCTCTTGTGATGTTTTGAGCGGTGCAGGAAATGCAGTGTAAGCAGTTACTGTGGCAACTAAAAGGTAGCTTAGTAGATGTTGATTTTCAGCCTTGTGGGAAATGCTAACTTTACCGCTTACGGCCGAGTCTGTGTCTAAAATGCTCGCGAGCGCGTTACGGTACTGTGTAATTAGGCTTGTGCTGGTGCTTGCTGTAACTACTGATTTTGCTCAGCCTTCTCTTTAGTTACGTTCTGGGGCCTGCATGTCGTTTGACTCTGCGGAAACATGGTTATGTGTTTGCACATTGTGACCTGCCTTCTTATCAGTAGTATTTTCCAGGACGGTTGTATCTAGCCAGAGCAAAGCAAAATCTTTGCTATTGTGCCGGTTGCTTTTTCCCCTGAGGTTTCAGTGCAGTTTCCTTTCCCTTGTGATGTTCAGGTTTCGTCTGCCCTCCCTTCCTCTTTAAGTCTACAGACAGTTTATGGTTGCGTGTCCTTGTTTTTGCATTCCAAAGAAATCTCAGGAACTGAAATTAGTAGGAACTGATTGAATCGGAACCTGATCTTAAGTCATTGTGTACAGGTGTAAGCCTGTAAAAAGTCTTACCCTCTACTGGTTTTAAGTTGCAGAATTTGACAATCAAATGATAAAGTCATTTCCAGCCCGTGACAGCTCAGGCAAGTATCTCTTACAAAGGCCAAGTAATAAAATGGTGGTGGAAAAATGACACGTGAGTAATGCTGGAGCTGTGCTGTGCAGGTGGCAGGATCAAACTTTGGGAACAGCTTCTCATGGCAAAATCCTACTACATTTTACTGAGAAGCCCTCCCTTCCCTAGGCGTACAGATCTGAGCACCCGTTTTGCTGGTATTTTCTTCCAGTTGACTTCCTCTGTCATTTGTTTTGCAGCCTAAGCGAGAGCTTTTTCATGGTGAAAGGCGCAGCCCTTTTCCTACAACAAGGAAACAGCTCCCAGGGCCAGCGAAGTCTCCAGCATCCCCACAAGCATGCAGGTAGTGGATTAAATCACCTACTGAAATTCTCATTCCCCTCTTGCTTTGCCACTCATCGCATCCATGCGGACAGGCTAGGAGCGCGGGTGGGCGGGTGGGTGGGTGACTCCTCACGGTCACCGTGGACCTTGTACAGCCTGCTGAGTAAAGCCAGGTTTTCAGCCCACTTCATCTGAATGGGAAGGAATGATTATTGAGTCTTTTGTTTTGTCATTCTCTTGGAACTGTAACTGGAGTAGAAATTTATTCTCTGGGGATATTACGGCATTCAGCATGGCATTCTTTAGCCAGGGAAGCCTGCTGAGCGAGAGGATCCGGGCTGAATCTGTATCCCTGTTTTCCTCAGCCACAGATGAGGAACGTCACTTGTTCCTGCTTCAATGATTTGATCTTTGCCTTCCCCGTTGGCCTGTGGGGAGGAAAACTGGATGGGCTGAGTCACAGGGCTCTAGCACCTCTTCTGTAGTTATCGCGGTCCTGATTCAGCACGGCAGGAGCATTTCTCTGAGTGCTCTCCCAGCCTCCAGCAATCTGACGCTTGGCACTTCGGTGGCAGCTGACAGCATTTCCTCTTTTGAAACTACCTGTCGCTGACTTTGTTTGATGGTGCCCCTAAGAGCGAGGAACGTTTTAACAGGATTTGCGTCTCTGGATAGGCATACGTTTCTTAGCTCCTTATATCCCCTTTCCTGGTTTCAGCAAAATCCCCTTTTCAGTTAACTCATCACAATCTGGCCTGTAAGCATTTATCATGGTTTAAGAACAGACTGTCCTTCTTACCCCAGTCCCCTCCAGTGTGCCAAACTGGTGGGAAGAAATGGTAGAGTTTTTTTAGGGTGAACGTGCATAAGGGTTGATAAGCAGATATGGGGTTCAGAAAAGTGGATTCTACTTACCCCGTGTTTTTATGCCTTTTGTCTTTGACAGTTTTGGAATAAGTGATTACTGGGGAAAAAAGAAGTAAGATCATCAGGGCGTTTTAAGAGCAGGAGCATGTGGGAAAGGCACAGTGTGGTACTGTGTGTTTGCTGCTTAGTAAACACTCCAAGCACAAAGAGGGTGTTTGAATGCCAAGCTTGGCTTTGTGTTTCTTCAATTGTCAGCAATTTCATATACCCAGTGAACATCCTACGGAAGGAATTTTATCTTGTATGGAAAGTTAGGAGTGCATTACCAAGTTATTAGATGTGAACTTGTTCTGTTTTCTTGTAGCCTCCTTGTTCCTTTTGCTTGCTTTCACCAAACAGAAATGTCCCCACCACTCTAGAGCCTAAGGGACTTGCTGGATGAACAGCGCTTTGTTTGAGATAGAAGGGATCCATCACCCAAACCGGGTCACTCCTGCAGCCCTTCCTCCTCTGAAGTTTCTCGTGTTCAGATATACCCTCCATAGGGCTGGTGGGGCTGAACCCACAATGCTAACGTGTTTTACAACTTTATTAATCAGAGTTGTTCCTCCTGCCTCTTACTCCCCTGTCCTCAGTGCCCATATCTTTCTGTCTTCTCCAAGATGCTGTAACAGGAAGAGTGCCAGTCACAGGTGGTCTCAGTATATTTGGTAGCTTCCAAATGTCGTAAGGTCGAGTTCTCACACAGCCAGAAAACCCTCCTCCAAGAAGCTCTCTTCTGTTAGTATTCTCTTTGGCCTCCTCTAAAATGGTATTTTTTGACTTAGAAACATCCAATTTCATAAAAAGTCAAGACTCTGCCCATTAGTGCAGCAAGTGAGAGACCCTTTCTGATCATTTCTCTGCTCTCCCTGCAGGTGATTTGCCCCAGCACCTCCAGGTGATGATCAACCTCCTTCGCTGTGAGGATAGGATCAAACTGGTAAGACAAGATGCTTTTTCCTGCTCTCCCTTCTCTTTGGAGGCATTTGAAATAGATCTGTAGAGGTTCATGAGAAGCATTGGCAAATCCTAGGTGTCAGAGTCAGCTTAACTCTATGCTGGTTGCCAACCATACCGTGTTTTCCCGTACACTCCTTTTGCCCTGGTCCATACGTCCAGGTAAGGAGTTGGGTCAGGACACTGATCTGTCCGAAACATGTGTGTTTTGTTAAGTTTCATTTTCCAGCCGGCTGACAAACACTAATACAGGAGCTTGCTGATGCTAGCGGACACTCTTAAATCACTCTTGAAGCTGCATCCAAATGGGGCTGGGCTTTTTTTGAAAGAATTCTGCAGAGGCTGTAAAAGTCACTGCAGAAAAGTCTGTGTCAATTGTCCCCTCCAGTGTGACTAACATATTTCAGTTGAAGGCTTGAGTGGAAGACTCCTCTGAGCCTGCCTCTGTTTCCAGTTCAGTGCGTGACCAATATTTTTACCAACTTCCTAGTTGAACCTCTTTGGAACAAATCTTCAGGTTGTGTTTTGTAGAATTTCTCTGAACTGGGGCAGGTAATCTAGGCTAATCTTCTCCCCACCTGATGCCAAGTCAAACTGGCAACTAGCCTTGCGGGAAGGTGGACTTTCTCTCCCTCTGTCTTTCATACTGCAGCTAAATAAAGCTTTTGGACACAGTTACACCTGAGAAAAGTACTAGGCAGCAATGGAAGTAATCTTTATCCAAAAGCTGGTTTGCAGAGCTCGATGACCTTTTTCTAGGCTGTCCGTTTGGAAAGTGTGTGGACAGACAGAGTCCGGTACATGGTGGTTGTATACAGCAGCGGACGACAGGACACGGAAGAGAATATTCTGCTGGGTGTGGATTTCTCCAGCAAGGAGAGGTATGTCTAAGGCGAGGCTGGGGTTAGAAATTGGGCAGTCTTGGGTTCTCTGGGAAGCCTGTCAACACCAAATTGTCCCCAAGCAGTTGGTTTACATGTATCTGCAAATTCTAGCAAGAGAAAGGACATGTGTTGAGTTCTCTGACCAGGGTGAGTGGGTAATTTATTTTTTGTTTTGTTTTGTTTTTGTTTTTGTTTTTTTGTTTGTTTTGTTCCAGAAAGCTTTCAGTCTCCTTGGAATCTCTGGGATGTCTGGACAGGTGTGAGCAAAGCTTTCACCTGTAATCCCCTCTGTAGGGCTGTGGCATCTACCTCATCTCTGGTAGTTTGCTGTCTGCTCACTACAAAATGCTCTTGTAGACACATTTGCAGAACTGGAATTTATTCTATCAACCAGGCTTCTAGTCTGTTGATGCTATGATGCAATGGAGCTGTTTTTTGGGGGGGTAGCCAAATAACATCAAAAAAACAATACTGCAGAAGTACCTCCAAAACCAACAAACAAATGTGTCAGTAATGAGCTGTTTCTTTTGTCTAACTGATAAGAGCACATAATATTTTGAAAGGCAAATAAAATACTTTGTTATCGCAGACCCTCTCACATTATTCCAATTCTAGGTGAGTAAACCAAGGCAGAAAAGCTCTTGGCTCAGAGAGACGGGGCTGGTTTGGCAGAGCTGGAGTTAGAAGTCAGAGCTTCCAGACCGTTGTTTCTGTTCTCCGATGATTTAGCAGGCTGCCATGTTGTGCTGGTGCAGCCAGTGTGAATTTTGTTTTCTTTTTGGAAAACCTGAGCGGATGTTGCCATTGCTGTAAGTGGAAGGGGGGAGCTTTTGCTCTGCAGTGAGACCTGTAGGGCAACTCGTAGCCTTACCTTCCTAACAAGATTGTCATTGGCTTTGATGCTGCCCCTTGCGTCTGCTGTGGAGTTACTGCTGTTAGTGTTACGGAGGCATTTCCTTCTGGCACGCACAGTGTGCAAGAGCAGTGGATGTTTGCTATGTTCATCTTCAAATCTGAAACCACCTTGCAATAGTTTGCTTCTGGGGGCTATCGGTGTGAGACAAGAGGCAAGATGGACAAGTTATGACAAATCCATCCTAACTGTAAGGCTAGCTGCCGTTTCAGCTGCTGTCTCCCCTGAAAGCCAATTTTTTTGTTAATTAAGGGTAAGTCTCATGCGAAAAGAAGTCAGTTGGCATTAGCGACTTAATACTGAGTGACTCCATGGCTCTGTGTTGGGGCTGAAATGTCACTGCTGAGCTGTAAGTGTTCTGACTGCTGACAGTTTGACTAGTCAGGCACTTTTGTGGGTTTCATTCTTTTTACATGTGTTTAATAAAAAACATTTTTTTCCTCACAAAGCTCTAAAGTGCACATTGTCCACATGTGTGTTCAAACTGGCCTGTCAAATCCTTTGATCCGCTGTAGAAAGCGGCTTAAAGAAAGGAGAAGAACAAAACCAAACCCAAGTTCTTTGCTAACCGGCTGTTGCTGTATGCATCCCAATTTCCTTTAAAACTTTAATATCTTAGTAGCTTAATTATTTACTAGTTGAAAGTTACTGCCCCCCTTAATAGTACGGTTTTCTTGCCAGATTGCCTCTCTGACATGAAAATGTTCTTTCGGGTTAGGTGAACTCGTAAAATCCGTTTTTGTCTCTTCCACCAGCCAGCGTGGTGAAGTGAAAACCGAGCACGCAGCCCTTTGAAAGGCCCCTGGGGTCCCCTTTGGAGAGGGCGGGCGGCTGCTCTGCCACTACCGAGGCTTTGCTTTCTGCCTTGCTTCAGTGAGCTGAACCTCTGCAGCCAGACCCCTGTGATCTGCCTTTACGTCCTCTTAGGGAACCGCTTTGCACCGAGCTTAGGAGGGTGAAGGAGCAGGAAGGATGAGGGGGCAAATGGCATGTTAGTACCAGAGTAGACCTTTAGGCTTCAGCTGCCCATTTCCTCGTGTGTTACGTATTTGATGGCCTAAGATATTACTAGGAATTACTAGAGCAAGACTTGAGGATTTTAAAAATTAAAGAGTATTAATAATTAAGGATATTGGCGTGACCGCATTGTGGCCTATATTTAACATCCTGTATAACAATCTCTCTTCCAGTAAAAGCTGCACTATAGGAATGGTTCTTCGTCTGTGGAGCGATACTAAAATCCATCTTGATGGTGATGGGTAAGAAACCACATTAAAAGGATAAATGTGAATGTCCTTCCCTGCTGGGGGGCTGCTCTAGGAGAGATTCTCCGTCACCTTGCAAATGAAGTTCCAATTTTAGATTCACGGCTGCAATCCTCTTACTCAGTGAGTTTTTGTCTTGCTGCCCTCAAACTGCTCAGTGGAACCTGTGATACCCCGTGAATGTTCTCTGAAATCCCACTCGAGGGGTGGAGCTCCCATTCCTGGCAGCCTACGCCAGGAAGGGTGTCCACTTGCCTTTCTTATTTGGGAGGATGTTGGAAAATCGGTGATACAAACTCTCATCCCTGATTCTTTTTGACTGTGAGTGCCCCTCTGGCTGCCTTGCAGTAGCTGTTAGTAGAGTGCAGCTCGTGATGCGGAGAAGAGCAATTTGTGACTGGTTTTTTTCCCCTCTTTCTCTTAGTGGCTTCAGCGTGAGCACTGCGGGGAGGATGCACATCTTCAAGCCGGTGTCGGTGCAAGCCATGTGGTATGTGTGTTAATTAGCTACATTGAGAAAGAGACTGTCGTTTCTGTGAATAAATTAAAAACAAATAAACCAACTGCATTTTAGCCTTCTCCATAATTGGTATTTAGTGAGCTGCAGCAGAGACGCTGCTTCCCTGTGTCAGCCGGTAGCAGGACTATAAAGGGACCGTGAGAATACTGATCCGAAAACAGGATCTTCTGCTTCTGTTCAGAGCAGCTATGTGCTCTTTAATGTAGGGGAAATGGCACTAGCGAGATGAATAAACATGAAAGATCAACTTGAATCCATCAGGCTGCAAACCCAGTCTTTCCTCTCTGTGCATATTTTTCGAACTGGCTGAAGGAGGCGTCTCGGGACGCATTGCCAATCTGATGGCATTCCCCGTGTTCTGCCTCATTGCTGGGGCCAGGCTGGGGCTCCTGCTGCGCAGAAACTTTCCGTGCCGCCGCGGGTGCCTGTTCACCTTTCAGCTCCTGTCACCCCTCCCCTGTGCAGGGATTCCAAAACGCTGAAGCAGAGGTGGCTGAATCAGCAGCAGCTGTGCCAGCAAATTCCTCCCCGAAGAGGCTGCTCCCCGGCCCCGCCGAGAACAAATGCATCTCTTTTGGCCTGGGCAGTTTGGCTCCTGCCGGGGCCTCGAGAGAGCCCTGTCCTTGTGGCATCTGATAGGGAAAAAATACAGAGGTGGAGAAGGATGTCGTGCTAGGGATGATTTGGTACAGAAACAAATGAAACTCTTGTTCCTGTCATTTTAGAACTCGGCCCCTCCTGTTGGCAACCTTAGATGTGGTTAATGCATTCAGTACAATGACATCTTCGGAGTAGAGCCTTAAAAAAAGAAAAGAAAGAAAAAAATGAGGAGGGAAGGAAGGAAAAAGTAATGCTAGAATTTGCAAAAACAAATGACCCAATCTGGGCCCTGTCCCTGGAGCATGTCAGGGGCCAAGAATGCTGGTAAATATGCATTTGACTACTTGCTGAAGGTGGTTTGAAAATTGTCCATGTTCTTTATTTTTCTTTGGTCTGGCTTTACGAGTTAGCTAATGATTAGATCCCAGAGTGACTTGTGCCTTGTGCTCGCCTGTTAATCAGGGAAGATTTCAGCCTGCGCCTCAGACTGGCTATTGAGAAGGCCTCCAAGGTGTAGTTTGTGCCCTCTCTGAACTCTGATATAATAAATCTGCGGCGCTCAAAAAATAAACTGCAACAAACAATGCTGAAAATCTTTTTTTTTTCTCTGTGAAAATCTCTCAGATCCTGCTCTTGTCTGTTCCTGCTGCTCACATCTGCACAACTTTGTTCTCCAAACTTACAGGTCTGCTTTACAGATCCTCCATAAAGCCTGTGAGGTTGCAAGAAGGTACAACTACTTCCCAGGTGGGATGGCCTTGGTCTGGGCCACGTACTACGAAAGCTGCATCAGCTCTGACCAGAGCTGCATCAATGAGTGGAATGCAATGCAGGACCTGGAGTCCACCCGCCCCGACTCTCCAGCCCTGTTTGTTGACAAGTCAGTTCTGAATTTTGTTAGAAAAAATTGGCTTGGCTCATGAGAGGAGTCTCCCCTTCTCTCTTTTCTTCCTCCTTTTCCTTTCTTTTCATAAACGTCTTCAAATGTTTTTCTTCCGTTATTGTCATAAAAATTGCTTTTAATACAAAGCTTTACCACTGCTCTTCTCTACAGTATGAGTTGCACTGTGTGTTTAGTGCCAGCTTGGAGACATCAACTCCTTTTCCTTTTCAGGCCAACTGAAAGGGAACGAACAGAACGGCTCATTAAAGCCAAACTCCGGAGCATCATGATGAGCAAAGACCTGGAAAATGTGACTTCTAAGGAGGTAAATATAAAAAGTCCTGCTATCTTACTCTTCCTGCTGGACTCTCTTTCCAGCGAGTGCTGCACCGTTGAAGAGACACCGTCTGACTGGGTGTCACTGGCTTCTGAGTGTGTGTCTCCAACTGTTCCGTAAAGGCTCTGCTCTTTGGCTTTGCTATACGTCTGTTTCCCCAGCAGGGAAGTCGGGGTAATGCCAACATCCGAATGCCTTTTTCAAGACCTGAGTAACAAGTAGGTGACTTTCAAATGCAAAGTGCCTGGTTCTTTTGCCAACGGAGTGGCATCAGAGGTGATGCCTGCATTTACAGTTGGTTGTAGCACATGTAGGCACGTCCAAGCAATGAATTTGCAGCCACTCGTTCCTTCAGGGTGTCCCTGTGAATTACAGAAGCCGAGGCAGCACTCTCAAAAGATGCAGTTGGTGGCTTGAGGCCTTAGATGAGTGTCCTGATTTTCACTTGCTCATGGACAGCGCAGCAGAGCAAAGTACGTACCTTCCTTTCTCCTGTCGGCTTCATTTTAAGGTTTTATTTTCTTTGTTCCTGAACAAATGTCACAGGGGCTTGCAGACATTTTGCTAGCAAGTTTATGGATGGAAAATCACAAGTCAAGGCTAAAGCTAGTTTGGATCCATCCCACAAGCTGGTGTAAATACGTCCAGCAGCAGCGCACGCATATTCAGAGCAAATGAAAATAGTTCTTTTTGGGTTGGTTTTTTTGTTTGTTTTTTGCAGGGCTTTCCTTCCTAAAGCTTAGCACTGAAGGTTCAGATACGCTTCTGTGTAACAGCAGCGTTACAAGTTGTAAGCGTTAAGCTGAGAAACTCATCTGTCTGTGTACCTGTTACCAACTCTGGGTGCCGTCGAGATGCTTTGGTTTTGCTGCAACCATTTTCCATAGTGGGTTAAAAAGAGTTGGGCTGCTTTGCATTGCACCTTCCTGAAGCTGAGGTGCAGTGAGAGGACTATGCCTGTGCCCTGGCGTTTTATAAAAAGGGAAAGTACAGGAAATCTCTCTTCACCCGTGCTGCTGCCATTATTCACTCCTTGCTTCTATTGAATTTCGCATTTTTTTGTTAGCTGCTCTCCAAAGTCTTTCTTTTTATCCCTCAAATTATTTTTAAGAAGCTGGTGCCTCAAAATACTTGGTTTTTGGTTTTTGTTTGCTTTTCTTTTTTTGTACTCGGATGTTATCTAAAGCTTTATTTACAGATCTTCAATTTGGGGGTCTCGGGTACTTGGGAAGGCGCCACGTAGTGAGATTCCTTGTCTCCAAAAGGTCGAATCCCTCTTGCTGTTTTTAATGAAGTACAGAAAAATGTTTTACAAAGGAGTGCCAACAAATGTTTCTGTTGACCAGATATCATTCTAGGTGGCATCCTTTGTTTTCTTCTCTGCAGATACGAAATGAGCTGGAGAAGCACATGAATTGCAACTTGAAGGAATTCAAGGAATTTATAGACAATGAAATGCTGCTTATCCTGGGTCAGATGGATAAACCGTCGCTGATTTTTGATCATTTATATCTGGTAAGCTGCCATGCTACGAGTTCTGGAATGGCAGGAGGCTCAGTGGGAATGATCTGACAAGTCACTGGGCTGAGGGGAAGCTGGATTTTGTCTCAAGGCTGACTTGTGCAGCATGACCAAGAGGTACAGCCTGCTCTCCTGCCCTTTGTGCAGACTTTACTTCAGGACTCATATTGCTTGTAAAAGCCTGCAGGAGAGAAGCCCATTTTTTTTGTAGCTACATTCTTGTTTCTGGCACTTGGTATAATGGTTCTTTCCTGCCCAGGTTGGTCCTGTTTCAGGACATACGGTAGTGTAGTTCAAGTTCTCTCTATGCACGTTAATTTTCTATTTTTAGCAATGGAGATTTTCTTTTAAGAGAGACGAAGGCTGTAGCTGTGGATGCTGCCCTGGTGTGACAGCAGTTTGCTCTTTGCCTCTGATTAGGGTCCCTGTATTGGTTTTCTCGATTGAGCCTATGAAGTTCTGTACGCATGGCCAGAGCTATGTCAAGAATAGGGCTTGAAGCTGATGTGCTGTTCCAGCTTGTGCAAAAGCAAAAGAACGGGGCGTGTTTCGTCTGATCTTCTGCCACTAGATGGTACTCCAAGCAAAACCAGGCACTGCCATCTGGAACAAAGACTTGCTTGAGATGAACACATTTGTGCCCCTTATGCTTGGGTCTTTTTTTTTTTCTGGAGAGAGTCAGAGGAAGTGCTCATGTTTGAGGGCAAAACCTGCTTTTTAAACCCTTTTTAGCTTTCTGTTTTGCAAGCATGGGGGGGGATTCAAGGTGTAACCACGCCCATAACTTTCAGGATTTGCCTCACTTGTCATACACCAGTGATCCCAGTCATGCCACATGTAATCGTTTCCTTTGCCTGCACTATTTATCTGTGGCTAGAACTCCAGAGGGGCCAGGGGCAGTGATTTGAGATGTGCCCTGTCACATGCTGGTCTAAACTAACCCCTTAGGTGAGGACATAATGCCTTTGTCACCTCCTTCAGGAGGTCCCTGCCTGTTCAGGACAGGACATCTCTGTGCTGAGCTGCCACGCTGCTGTTTCAGAGGCTATCACCAAGGTTTCAGTGAGGCTGGGGGATTGCGGCACCTTAAGAAAGAGGGGGGGTCTCGGGCTCCTTTGAAGCATGTGTTTTGTGGCTGTTGCAGGGGTCCGAGTGGAACGCTTCCAACCTGGAGGAGCTGCAGGGCTCGGGGTGAGTACTGCACCTTTCAGGCAACAGCCTTAGACTGTGAAACCTCCAGTCGTTTGCCTTTAACTTACGTTCAGGTCTCTTGAGATGACACATGACGTTTATAGACGTAGGGATGAGTTTGGGCCCATTCCCAGCGATGTGCGTAACTTACCGTCAAGACCTTGGTCGAGACATCTTTCCTACCTCATTTCTACCAATCACGTGTTGAGTGGAAGTAACAAAACTTCTTGTTTGTGAAGTACATCAGGATCTCCAAACTCCCACTGTGTGTAGCAGCCGAGCGTGAAATGGCCATACATATTGTCATCTCAGGTGTGAATTCCTGCAGGCTGCGGGACAGCAAATATTCTAGCGCTAAGCTTAGGAAAAAACTGTATCTAAATGGAGCAGAACTTCCTGTGGATGAGCAATCTCCATCTCACCTGCCCAGGCAGGCAGCTGCAGGGCTGTCTTTCACCACGCTCTCATCACCGCACAACTTCTTGGCTTGATTTATTTTCACGCTTTTTGGACGAGTGAGAATTTTGCATATAAATATTTGCTGCTTGCCCGAGGCATACACCAACCCTGATGTGAGAGACTGAAAAATATTGCTCAACAGCATGACTAAAAATGTTTAATTTGGAGTCCTTGGGAACAGATGTCTGAACATCTTTGAACAAGTAAACGAACTAGCACGTTAATACTTTTGATCTACAGGGAAGGCATCTTGACATGCGGTGTCTAAAAGTCAAAGCTGGACAAATTCTGAAACAAATATCCTGTGTCCTTGAGTTGTCTGAATGATAGGTGATAAATCAATACGGGCATTCGTTCGCCCTGGGTACATTGTAATCCCTGCTGTAATATTTGGCAGGAATCAAGAGATACCATGTGACTCTCATTTCATATTTTTGGTCAGAAAGAAGAGAAAAGGATGGTTTTGCAGCTAAAGCCTGCAGTTGAAGATTGTGATTCCTGGGGTTGTTCCCAGCTCTTGCCCAAATGAATCACTTGCAGCCGATGCACTTCTCTTCTTTCAGCGTCCCAGAAGCTGTGTGTGGCACACAGTGAGGAGTTTCTGATTAGGTTGCAAAGCCTTGGCACACAGGACAAAATAAACTTCTCCCTCCTGTGCCCAAGGTCCTGACACCTTGCACGGGATGTGCCGGTGGCGAGAGATGGGTGAATGGGCAGGCCCCGCACGTCATGTGCGTGACCTGTGTCACCGGGGGTCCCAGGGGGTCGGGATTAGGGCTGTGGATAAAAATCCTGCCGTTCGTGTTGTGCCAGATCTCATGGACTTCACAATGTGTGTCAGTTCCCTTTCATGACCACGGCAGTTCACCTTTATTTTTGTTTTTGTTCTCCACAGCATTGACTACATTTTGAATGTGACCAGAGAAATAGATAATTTTTTTCCCGGTTTGTTCGCGTATCACAATATCCGAGTGTATGATGAGGAGACGACAGACCTCCTGGCTCACTGGAACGAGGCGTACCACTTCATCAATAAGGCCAAGTAAGTGGGCTGGGAGACGCGACTTAGTGCGAGAGCACATCCAAGCCACGGGGTCTGACACCGTGCCCTGTGTGTCTCGTCCAGCGTGGAGCTGGACCCTCCCTGAAGCCACACCACCACTGAAGGAGGCTCAGGGCTTTTGCATTGCTACTTTTGCTGGGAGTTCTCTGTGTCCCTGGAACTTCCCCGTACCTTGTCTCTTCCTGTACTGACGTTAACCTGTTCCTAGCCTATGATATTTTTTACGGTTATTTTGTTTTGCTTCCAAAAGGAAACGAGGACGTTTCCTCTTCTCGAGAAGTTCTGGAAATACTCCAACACATGTCCGTGCTGGACTAGCCCCAGCTGTCTCTGCAGACGAGAGATGGTGACAGAGTGCATCAAACTCTGCTGGGCTTTTACACTCAGGTTGTTCCTGCTTATCCCTGTATCCAACGACGCAGGCAGGCAGGAGGCTTCACAGTGGTCTCTGAAATGGCAGCAGGACTGAAGCTGCCCTTCTCAAACGCGTGACTGTTCTGGAGAGAGAGTCTTCTCCTGGCCCGCTTAGTCCAAAACATTTCTCATCTACTGAGCTGTGGTGTTAGGGTGGTCAGGAGGACAAAGTACTGTCCCTCCACCGTGTAAAATGGTAACAACCAACAACAAGATATCATAACCAGAAAGGTGAGACACATTTTCCTGTTTGTTCTTCCGCAGGAAGAATCACTCCAAGTGCCTGGTGCACTGCAAAATGGGTGTGAGCCGGTCGGCATCTACTGTTATAGCTTATGCAATGAAGGAATTCGGATGGTCACTGGAAAAGGCCTATAATTATGTGAAGCAAAAACGCAGCATTGCGAGACCAAATGCAGGTTTCATGAGGCAGCTGTTGGAATACGAAGGCATTTTAGATGCGAGGTAAGGCGACCAGATGAATGGAAAGGCGACTGGTCGGAGATACAGGAGCTAATTGTAGGCAACCTCTCGTGTTTTTGTATCGCAAAATATTAATTGATCTCCGTGGAGTTCCGTTCAGTCAACAGGTTCTTCTGCTGATGTCTTGCACACGTGCGTGTCACGCTCAGAGACGTGGGCAGAGTGCGCATGGTGCTGTAGTCCGAAGGGTCCCCTTCAGAAGGGCAGATGCAGAAGCCTGGGCTAATTGTGTTTTTCTAAACCTTTTCCATGCCAGGCCTCCCTGGATGGAAATTAGCTGTCTTCTAGAGAGATCTGCTCTGGTTTAATTCAGTGAGGGTTTCTCTGCGTTTGGGAAGCATGTTCGTATTTCTCAGCAGCCAGTACTGTTCAGCAAAACATTGTTCTTGTTTTATGAGGCAGAACTGAGCTCAGGCAGTGTTGGAGGCAAATCATTTGCAGTTCTGGGTGACCATGCCAATCACAAGTCTTTGTCATTGCAAGTGCCATAGTATCTAATAAGGGTTTCTGCACGCTCCGCTTGGCCTCTGCTCTACTGGGGGAGGAGGAGGAAAATGGTTCACTCTGATTCAGCGGGAACTGTGCCATCAGACGTGCAGAGATGTTGGTTCAGAGTGGTTTGCACCGACACAGGGCTCTGTGCCCCTCTGTCCCGGGGGACTCCTCCCGAGGGCCGTTCCCATCATGGGTGCGGTGCAGGGCACTGCAGTGAGTTTCCTGGGCCAAAGGGATGCTGGAGTGGGCGAGCAGGAGGGACGAAATCCTGATGCTAAAGGTGGTTTTGCCCAAGTGGGACTGCCAGGCTGGCCCCAGCGTTCAGCCGTTCAGTTCCAGGTTGTGGAGAGGGAGGGACGTTCCTGGAACCGAGCATCCCACAGTTCAACGGTGTTCACTTGTGTCTTTGTCCTTTCCCCCAGCAAGCAGCGCCACAACAAGCTGTGGAAGCAGCAAGCAGAGAGCAACCTACCCCAGAGCACAGACAGCACCTCGGGGTCGGGTGACTTCTTACTCGAGAGCTTAGACATCGACCTAGAAAACCGGGTGGCTGACCTGGACACGCCTTCGCAGTCAGCGTACCTGGATAACCGCGCCGGCACAGAAGTGTCTGTGGGGTTTAATTACTGCTTCCGCCGCCTCTCGGACACGCTGCTGGAGAACAAGATTCCTGGTGAGAGGGTGGGCTTTTTCCACGTGGAGGAGCTGGAGCGGGATGCGCTTAGGGAGCGTGCTGCCTCGCTGGTGGGACGGCCTCCGGCAGCGCCTTCGGAGGGGAGGCTGATGGAGACGGTGAAAGCCCTGGAGACAGCGGAGCCGCTGGCAGAGCTGAGCAGTTTCTGCAAGAAGGAGGTGAAGAAGAAACTGGACTTCAGCCCCCGGAAGGGAAGGATAGTGCTGGGCCCTGGGGACCCGGGGGAGGACGGTGTCAGGGAGGAAAATCCGATGGAGAAGTGGAAGCGGCGTTTGTCCATGCACAAGGAGGAGAGCAGGCTTAATAGAGAGAACTTGAATAACAACAACAGCAAAAGGAGTTGCCCAGAGGATTTTGAGGTGCGTATGGAATTGAAGTGTAGGTGATTAGCATGGCTGACTCTGCTGCAAGTGAAACTGCTCTTCTCATTTTCATAGCACAGTTTCATTTGACTTGGATAAAGTCTTTCATTCCATGATGAGCTTCCTTTTCGAAGTGCTTCTGAACATGGCTTTGCTTGCCCAAGCTATGGATTTAGATGCCTGAGAGAGAGCGCACACATGCGAGCGCCCTATAAACTGCTTTGGGCAACTTGCTTGCATGATCATCGCTTGAAACGGTAGGTATTCTTCCATTGAAGATACTGTCTGCTGGGAAAGTACATGGCTTTTGTTCCTGCTGCAGGGCCTTAAGAGAAGTGGAAATGGGCTTCGTTTCAAATCTGTGTGGCTGTAGAGATATCTTGTGGTCTGTGCATCTCGCTCTGCTGATTGCTGATGTCCTGCTCCGTGCACATTTATCTGTACCTGTTTTCTTTTTTGCAGAATGATGCCGTATTTGGGATCCTCAGTAAAGTCAAGCCTTCCTATCAGTCTTGCACTGACTGCATGTATTCCTCAGCCAGTTTGTCTCCCGACTCCTTTGGGGAGCAGTGCGAGAAGTTGAACGCCGGCGCTGCGCGTCGCAGCACCACCATCTGCACGCAGCCAGCCCTCCTCTCCCACATCAATTCCAACTTGGCGGACCACCTGCCCAGCAAGGCACACTCAGAGGAAGGAATCAGAACTAAAAATAACGAGGCTCCACTTCTGCTGTCGGCAGGAGTTGGGACTTTGGAGGCTGGTGCTTGCAAATCACTTGATCAACACTGCAGCATTTTGGAGAGAGGAAAAGATGCACCAAAAACCCCAGTCAAAACTCTGCTGCCCAGGAGAAACTCGCACTGTGACAAGAGCCTCCTTAACACAGAAGCGGTGAAAGAAGAGTCTCTAGCCAGAAAAGATGGCAAACCTACCAAGGATCTGAAGTACTTGTTCAACAAAGACTTGGAAAAACCAAGTGCAAACAGTTACTTGATGCAGCATCAGGAGTCTCTTATTCAGTTGCAGAAAGCAGGCTTGGTTAGGAAGCACACCAAAGAGCTGGAGCGGTTGAAAGGCCTGCCCTCGGATGCCTCGTCGCTGCTCAGAGAGAGCCCGCTAAGCAGAGTCGACTCTGGCATTGTGGAGGAAAATGAGGATTTGATTTCACATCACAGCCTCGTACCTCTTCTGGGACCAGCCCAGTTGATACCCGAAGATGCAGAAAATAATGTGGAGAAGTTAGAGGCGAAACGCGTCTTGGAGGGGATCTCTCAGAAAACCTCCACGCCTGTCATGTGCCGCTTGGAGCACACGAGCAGTTTCACCAAGGACTTTCTGAAGACCATCTGCTATACCCCCTCCTCCTCCCGGAGCTCCAACCTGACGCGTAGCTCCAGCAGCGACAGTATCCACAGCGTGCGGGGCAAGCCCGGCCTGGTGAAGCAGCGAACTCAGGAAATTGAGACCAGGCTGCGGCTGGCTGGCTTGACTGTGTCTTCTCCTCTGAAAAGGTCCAATTCTCTTGCCAAGCTAGGATGTCTTAACTTGTCCTCTGAGGACTTGTCAAGTGACATGGATGTGTCAACCATAACGGGCTCAAAAGAGGCCGTTTCAAGTGAGTCTTCCATGCTCTGTGAGCCACAATCCACGCTGAAGAGTGCAGACGTCACCTCCAAACTGGCAGCGAAGCCGGCGGTCGGAAACTTGAAGAACACGCTTTGGATGGGCAAAAGTTGATGCCTTCTGTGGGAGGAGTCGGGGGGGTGGAATTTTGGGTTTTCATGGTATTTATTCATTGCACCGATGCAGTTTTACCATCTGACTTGCAGCAGTTCATCTGATGCCACCTCTCCTTCCCCTCCTTGTACTCTAAGTGGGGAGAAAAAAAAACATAATGGGTCACGATGATGGCACAAGGGAAAATAAAACGTATTGCATGGCTTAGAAGAGGACTTTGTGTGTGAATTGCCTGTTGTCTTGCAGGATGCTATTTCTAGTACTGTTTGCCAAGTATAATAATGTGTGTTTGTGTGTATGTGTATATATAGATAGATATTTGTATCAATTTATCTATCTATATATATAAAACGCTGAAATACTCTTCAAAGACTCAACAAAATAATTAGTCATGACTTTTTTTTTTTACAGAACAAACACAAGTCTAGTTAAAACAGGGCACTTGTGGCAAAATCCTTAAAATGGTGACATGAACACTACCTCTGTTCTCGCTGACTTTTAGCCTTGGTTTGTTGTTTGTTTTTCCTTAAAAAAGGCTTTTCCCAGAATACTTGCAATTGTTTGAAGGCATTCCCTTAATGTTAACTGTAAAGGCCTGGCGGAGTGTGGAGGCAGAGGCTTTACTGCACCGAGTGACCTAGCTGTGACGTGAAGGAGTATCGAGCTGTGTTCGTGTTGGCTGTGTGACCTGCTGGTGTTAGCCCGTCTTCGCTGCGTGACCAGGTGAATTGTCATAGTCTCACGTTGGTGCCGGAGTGACACCCAGACTGTGTCGCTGTCGCAGGCTTACGCTCCCGTGGAGAGGCGTCGTGTGCTTTGGGTGTTTTTGCTGTCGTCGTGGTTTGTAGTGTCCCAGTACTAATGACGAGCCTGGCCAGTAAGTGACCGTGGACCTTAGTGAAGCTTTGTGTAATGCTGTGTCAGTGTCGTGGATCCTGTGTTGGGGACCCTTCATCGGGCTGTCGGTGGCACACGGTGCCGGCGAGACGGCCGAGAGGGGACAGCTCTCCCGGTGTCCCACGCATTCGAAATCCCAGTGGGCAGTAGGTGAACGTGTGTCTTTTCTGCTTATTGCTGTTGGCTTTGCGGGAGCGGTTCCTGCGTCCTTGGCTTGCCAGCAGCCTGGGAAGCTGTTGAAGTCCAAGGGGTTTATTTATGCCGGGTGTCAGGAGGCTGGGTGGCCCCAGAGCGGGGAGCCCGGGTGTACGTGTCCCGGCGCTTGCAGGGCTGCAGCAGCCTCCTGCCAGGGTGACAGAGGCGTAAATCCCGCGCTCGGGGTGGGGGTGCCTCCTTGGGGGAGAGCGGTCAAACAGGAACGCGGGCTCACTCCGAAGAGACGGGGATATTGAAGGCGTGGGCGAGATCTCCTTTCGGAGGAAAGCTGGCCGTGCCCTG